CTTGGGAGAATGGACGCCGTTGGGCTGAAATTCTGACAGACCATGGTATTCAATCTATCGACCTTTCAAGTTTCCTGGATATGTGCAGAGATCCCAAATTGCTGGGTTGGAACTTTGGTATTCCAGAACCTCAGTGGGATAATTTTGGCAACACAGTGGAGGAAGCATTCAACAATCCTTTATTTGCCAAATTGCACTATCGCTTCAAGCAGGAGGAAGAGATTGGTCGTGTCATGCACCTTGTGTCGGAACTTGCTTGTGACTTTTTCATCAAGGTGCTTCCCAAGTGGGTTCTTGACCACTCGATCTTGTGGGAAGAGTTTATGATTTTGGATCCAGACACAAATTTCCCAGCCTACAAGACTTCAGAGGCCGCCTTACAAGCAGAAGTGAATCCAGGGAAGTATCATACACATTTTGCTATGAACTTCAAGAAATTCCGTTTTTCTGCAAGAATTGTGTGGTATTTGATTGACCGTGACAGGAATCATTTAGAGAGTTTTCTTCACAACTCCAACAGTAGATTTGTGCAACATGCATGCTATCAACTTCGTGAGTATGTTCAGGCGCGTGTTGCAGTTTCTGATCCCTTGTATGAGATGATCAAGAAGGAAGAGTTTGAACGCCAATACAATTCCAAGTTTTTGGAGGCGATTTCTTGCTCTCGTGTTGTAGTTGAGCCTGTAAGTTCAGGGACGTATGAGCCATCATCGAAGCTGAACTTAAAGGTACTACAAGACATCCTGAAGGGTATCTTCAAGATCCAGAAGGATGAGGAGCTTGCCAAAGAACGTGATGAAGAAGAAGAACAGGCAGCTCAAAACATCTCAAACTTGCTGGCAGATGATATGGAGCTTGATTTTGATGATGATAATGTTCCAGTATGGCGCTCCATTGTCGACAAGTATAGAGGAGGTGATCAGGTGCTACAGGGAGAAGCTGTGAAGATTACTCACCTGTTCAGGGATCAAAAGGACAATGAGAAGGCGACAGAAGCTTTCAGTTCAGAGAGGACAGATTTTTATGAGACCTCAGGACCTCTTCCAAGAACCGAGGGAGAAAATCTTGTAGAGGACTTGCTCACCAAGGATGTTGCAGAACAAGCTTTTGATGCAGGTGAAGAAGTTCCTCCTTATACAAGAGTCTCCACTATCGCTGGTGGAATCTATACTGGAAGTAGGACACTTCTAAAAGATGAGGATATGGAAGAGGAAGTTCCTGAAGAAGATCCTGCAGTTGAACCTGAAAAGGAAGAAGAAATATTTGATGAGAATGCAGGTGTTTTTCCTTCAGAGGAACCAAAGATGGAAGTGGACCAGGAGGAAGCCAAGGAGGAGTCAACACCACACTTTCTGTCAAGAGAGATAGGTGAGGACTCGGCTGCATCGCACTTACCATCAGGTGAGATGGATGCTAACCTTGATGATACTCCACGTCTGCCGAAATCTAAGAAAAGCCGCCTGAATAAAATACCTGATCCTCATTTTCATGAAGAAGTTCAGGATGATGCAACCATGGAAGAGAAGAAAGAGGCGGTGGAGAAAATAAAAGAGGTCAGAGAGGATGATGGAGAGAAGAAATTGGAGGCTGAAATCCAGGAATCTTTCCCATCTGAAGTAGTTGTTGAAAAGGATACAACAAAAGTTGACAATACCTATGAGTTGCATACTTCACCTTTGAAGTTGCTTGGAGAGCTTACAGGAGATCCAGGTATTGGCCTTTATCAACAATGCTTCAGGGAAACTCACGCAAGATTGCTGAATCATGTTTGTTTCAGAAAAGGTGAGATTTCCCATCCTCATTATCAGTCGAGGATCAACGAGAATGATTTTGTTCGATCCATTCGTAATATCTGTCCAGTACCTCCACCTGATTGTTATGAACACGAACCAGAGCATGATTTGAAGAGATTCTTTATCAATGATGATCGCATCATTCATTTGGATGGCAAGTATCAGGTCGATCCAAAGGCCCTTGAAAGGGCAGAACATGCTCGAGAAGAATTGGAGGATACGAAGAAGGAACTTAAGAAGGAACTGGAATCATATGGTCCCAAGGGACCCAGTTGGGACTTTGTCACCTTCTATGAAGAGCTGTGCAGAAGGTTCCTCAAGGGAAGAATAGAAGAACCATATGGAACTAACTTATTGGCCAGCTCAGAGTCCTTGACATTTTTATCCTGGAACTATGGCAACATGGTTCGTGGTCAGAAGTACACCACCAAGGTTTCTCCAAGGACTTGATAGTGCAATGAGGCCACGCAAACAGAGCGCCATGTCACTTCAGAATGAGCAATTTGAGAACAACCTTTTCTTCAACATGCTCTTCTTTTTACGTGCACATGTCGTGATTCTCCAGGAAGCTCATCTTCTTGTTCCTGCCCAGGAATTTATTGAGCAAAAGAATTGGACAGTTTGTTTCAATGATTGGGAGAATCTTGCAGTGATGGCTAGATTGGCACCAGGTGGATATGTCAAGATCATTGCTGTACATGATCAAGAACTTGGTCACTGTGAACAGCGTGATGTAACTTGGGCTATCTACGAGATTTGTTTTGGAGAAACAAGGCCTCGTCAAGATTTCAAGGATGCAGACTTTGAATTTGATGACTATGGTCCTGAGGACAAGCGTGTCCCACTTACTCGAGCGAACATGCATACCATCAGAGTCTGTAATTATCATGTTGATACACACCGTGCTGTGGATGCCCACCTACTGACAGGAGAACAGACAGCATTGATGCTTTACGAGTGTTTTGTCTATGAGGTGGACATCATTTCTGGTGATGCAAATAGTTTGGCCTACAGAATGTCTGGGTACAAAAGGCAGCCAATGGCTAACTACTATTACAGCACCATGCAGCATTGGATCCGCAGGTTTTCAGAAGCTCGTGTAAAAGCAGATCCTGGTATCAAAGCACCTATTCCCAGAACATTTTACAGTTCAACTTCACAGGTCCTCAAGAAGTGTGAAGTTTACTTTGATAAACTCTGGGAAGAATATTCTACTGTTGAAAAAGAAGAATACCAAGGATCACAGCTTGGCGATACATGTTTGTCTACCATTGTTGAATGGGGTCATTCAATGAGTGAAGAGGAATATGAAAATTCCACAGTGAGCACGAAGGAGTTCATCTGTAATTTTTCAGAGAACTTTGCTATGATTGACACGGAGGTTATGTGCTCAAGGCCCACTGACGAGGACAGTCATGGTCCAATGTTTATTTCACTCAGACCAGCTTCCTTTTCATCTGGAGACAGAAGACAGTATCGCATGGGAGCAACTCTTCATGAGGCGAAACTGCGGAGGAAGGAGAAACAGAAAGAGAATAAAAGGAAAGGAAGGCCGCCAACTTCTGATCAAGCAGCTTCATCGTCTGCAGCGGCATAATTCCTGAGCGAAGGCTGAAATTTAAATGATGGCTAGGAAGTGAAGATACTTCTGGTTACAGTTGATACTTTGCTTCCAGGCTTGACTTTAAGTTGCCAGGCTGAAGTTTTAATAAATTCTGGTTTGCAATGAGGAGAAACTTTTTATCAAAGAAGATACTCCTGCATTCCAGGTTTATACGCTTTAGCATGTAGATAGGTATGGACAGTTTTGCATAACTGATGGTATCTATCACAGCCGCTTTTTCTGAGATGACCTCTAATGGACAACCAGTCATGGTTGATGATTAAGTCATTTCATGATTTGCAATTGTAGTGCAAGATTTTTGTACATACATTTGCCGGTATCTCCTTCTTGTGTTTTTGATGTCAATGAGAAAGAGTCCTTTTGATGCAGTTTTTATTTTGTCTGTGGATGAAAGCGGTCGAGACCACGTCACGAGAAGATTATTCCTCGGACCGTACGCTCCTTGCATTTTGCAAGGCATTTTAATTAATTGCATTTGTGCGGTCTTGAGTTTTTGTTTCCTTGTTACGCGAGTGTCGTTTGATTCTTTTATAGGTCTCTGTAGACAAAAAGCCGCTTTCCCTTTTTAGTTTGATTTAGCTCAGGCCATAAAGAGCTAGTGAGCGCCGGTACATGGTATCTCCGCCTGTGAAAAGTACAGTCTCCAGCCGAGGTACATTATCGTTTTGATTTTGTACTTGAGGTGAGTCAGCTATTGCTCCCTCACTGTATTTAGTAGCTTTGAGATTACCTTCTCTATAGTGTGAAACACACTGGATTAGGTAAGTACATGGCACCGTAGTTTTCTTTTAAGTTGCTAGAGCTAGCTGGACTGTTTTAGCCTTGCAGTAGAAAAAGAGTGTGCGACATACGCAATCAGCTAGGAGTGGACATGAATCTTGTGCCTGCTGAAAAGTAGAGCCTATCTGTACAGGGTTCCACTCCAACAGCCGACATAGTGTGTCCATACTTGACTGCTTCAAGGCTCAAAGAGCAAGAGGATAAGACTCTGCGCATAAAAGACACTAGCGGTCTGCACCTCTACCGTGTACGCCCTAGTCACTCTTTCACCCCCCCCCCCCTCTCCCCTCTCCCCTCTCCCCACCCCACCTCCCCTCTCCTCCTCCTTGTCTTCCTCCCACCTTCCCTCCCTCCCTCCCTCCCTCCTCCCTCTTCGCAAGTTCGACTCCGTCCTGTCGTCGCTCTTTGGCATGCGGTTAGCGTTGCGTATCTTGCGGCCGCACTCGCTCACTCTCACTCTACTGTCTCACTGTCTCACTGTCTCACTGTCTCCCTGTCTCTCTCTCTCTCTCATCTCTCTCATCTCTCTCATCTCTCTCATCTCTTTCTCACCTCTCTCATCTCTCTCTCCTCTCTCTCTCTCTCTCTCCTCTCTGTCTCTCGTTTTTCCGTCTCTCTTCTCTCTCTTCTCTCGCAGGAGGATCCGGGCAAAGAGCCACATATAAAGGACTCTTCACCCCTGCCTCCAAAAAGAGCGCCGTGTTTTTTCCTACCTCACTGCCATCCACTTTCCCATTCTGGAGCGCTAGCTTTCGCCCCCCCCCTTGGCCTCAAGTTGAGGGTTGTATATTTGTTTTGCTCAGGTCTCTCGGACTGCCCTTGCAAATGAGCACAAGGTTAGACAGGACGTTAGGGCGTTAGAGCTCTTGGCTGGCAGACGCTGCGGAACCAAGCGGAACAAAGCGTAAGTGCTTTCAACGCACTGAGCGACAGTGGAAATCCTAAAAGGGTGATAATTTTTGCTGATGGCCTCCATCCAGCGATGGCCTCCAACCTACTGTAATTCTGCCATGGATTTGTTGCAATTCAGGTGCCACGTTTGGTGGAGTGATCCAACTGGAGACATGCGATTCAGGCCTGACCGGTTTGATTTTATTTTCAATTTTCAACTTCTGATACAGTTGATTTGCGACAATGGCTCAAGTCAGAGCAATCGCCAGCTTCTCCGTTCTTGAAGGTCCAGGGTACACACACTTGAATCACAACAAACCAGCACGCATAGAATATTGCAAAGCCGCGGGACGTTTCTTAATTTGTTCTTCGTCCAAAGTGTTTGCAGGGGCTGCTGCACTGGGTGATAGGTAACCCTACAACTGATGTCTGCTGCTGCTGCTGCTGTTTGGTGCAGTATCCTTGACCTTCTATTTTGGGCTTTGTTCAGCTATTTTGAGGTACCTGGGAAGTTACCACCGAAAAGCTGCTTTGCCATTCGTACCTCCATGTTTTGCGAAGGTCCTGGACTTTTCCTATCTAGCATCGCAAAGCCATGTTCTCCTCACTTTCATTCTGGTTCCCTTGTCAGTTTACTCTGGCAACCTTGATTTGAGGGTTTAAAAACACATACGGATTCACTTCCCAACAATGAGCTGCGCTGGGCAGTTGTTCAATTGATTGCAGTGCTCTTAGTTTTCGGGGACCTTTCCGGGCCATTTCGAACACATTCAATAAACCCACACGCAGTTATTTACACAGCACGCGGGCTAGAAACTAATCCGTTCAATATATTCCATTTACATATTACTTGTACATATGTGTTTCTCGTTTCAGAACCCCATCTTCCACTTGCAAGTGTCGGTGGGCACTGGTTTTATTTGGTATGTTGGGTTGCTCATGTTCACTGCTAATGGAACTCCAAGCCAAGATGTCGGCCGCTGCCTCGTGCACGTGATGCAAGGCTTGGCAGCAGTGACCGCTGTGACCGAACAGTTCAACAATATATAATATATATGTATATATATATCTCACAGCATTATGCTCCAGTGGCATTCTCTGTAACATGCCTGCAGACCAAAAGGCGGTCCTTCAAGCAGCTTCAGCTTGGCTCTCAGGAAAGCATTTTTTAAAATCATATCATTGAATTCCTCAAGCAGTTCATCAAATTTCCTGTGCAAACTTCATCTAAAATGACCGCCCCTCGTCACTTGTGACAGACTTTAGTTGTGGTTGCTCTACTCATGATTCTGCCATATTCCGGTCCAATCATATCCCTTCCCCGAGCTTAGCCAATTCCGCAGCTGAGAAAGCGCGAAGGCCGGGCACTGTCAATCTGTGAAAGGCAACGTTCATGCCTGAAGTGTTAGCTGCCCAGGCGGAGACAACATGAGCTGGTTGTGGCTGATTCTCGCATGGTTTGTTGAAGGCGCACCATGGACGGAGGCCTGAAGTGTTGCTGCTAAAGGTTCGCCTTTGAGACCGATCGTTTACGGGGCCTTGGACAGGAGAATGCGCCTTGGAACTTGAACTTTGAGCCCAGACACGAGCCGCACCTGTACTACGGCAAGTGGACAGGACACACTTACAATCCATCACCAACGGATTGGCGGAGCCTTGTGATTTATCAGCCACCTGCCTAGAATGGAAACAACTCGCTGTATTTGCCTTGCCTTGACTTATATACCACGTTCTTGGTCCGTTCGCTCCCGTACATTTGTCCAGGCTAATCACAGACCGGTTCGCTGATGGCAGTCCTCAGAACAATGAGCTCTTTGCTGATGGCTTTGACGTGCGGGAGCTTTGGCGTTGCATAATGGCCTCCCTCTGTCAGACCTTGACAACTTTGCGGCTTTTTTGATCTGAGCTGTTGATGCGTGTGTTGCAGGCACATTAATGGACATGCGACACCCTTATGTCATTGCGCGATGATGGCTGTTTGCTTGTTGCAGACCTAGGGGGCCTAGGGATTTTGGTCAGGTGTAAGGGAGGCTCGATGGTTGTGAATACGTTGCATGCACGGCTATCCCTACAGGCGTAATATCAGGTGCTCGTAAATTTGAGCCCCATTCCTATCCAGGTTGAGGGAAGGCAGGGAAGGATGGCACTTATAGTACGTTGCCGTTTTTGTTGCATGCGGCTGTTCTCAGATACAGGTACTCAGATACAGACTGAGTTGTGATTGGAAAAGCGCATCCAAATGTTTGGACAAGGGGGGTGCTCAGTGTTGTGACCTTGTGCAAGGACATGACATTCCGGCATGGCGGCGACTTTGAGGGCTTGAGGCAAAGGCTGTACTACATCAAAGGGCTGGGTTGCAATGCGGTGTGGATCTCGCCAATTTTTCAGATCCTTGGAAGTGCAGAATGGGTTTGAGGGTGTCATTCTTGTGTAGCATGACTTGTTGGTCCTGAAGAGCTAAGGAATGGCTTTAACTTCTATCACCAGTACGCCCAGCTAGACTTCACCGTCCTGGACAAACGTCTTGGCACTCTTGAAGAACTTCGCCAACTTGTAGCTGATGCACATGCGCTTGGTATGTACGTTATAGTGGACGTCGCGCCAAGCTTAGTACAAAGAGGCTTTGAGCACATCATTTGTGGCAAGCAGTGAGTGCGCTGGTTGAGTTCAGGTCATGAACCACATGGCAACTTGGTTCAACTGTGACAAGGGCTGAACGCCCACAGCTTCTACAATACAGACGATTTGTGCTATATATATGCATTAGCCAGATGCACAATTTCATGGGTGCCGAGGCAAACGAGTTCTACTTCCAAGGCCATTCCAAGTCGCAGGCACCTTGGAGATTTCACGAGGACAACAACCAGCGAGAGTATCGATTGAAGGTGCGCAAAACAAAGGCGCTATGGTTCCGTTGGCCGATCAGATTGTCGCGAACATGAGTCAAAGATCCAGTAGCAGGAGAGATGTTTGTGAGCACTCATCTGTGAATTTTACAGTAGCTCATGTTGGAGGCCATCGCTATATTAGGTTGGAGCTAGTAGGTTGGAGGCCATGGCTATGAATATATAGATTCTAATTTTTGGGACTCTTAGAAGGTCTTGTGCCTTCTCCTGAATCATGCTTCACTTCCTTGATTTTCCTGATTTGGTGAAATGATCCGCTCATTGCAGGCAGTCTTCTTCAATTCTTCCATTTGGTGTGGCGGTGATGCATTGTGGCAAGAGTATGGGAATTCGGCAAGTGGGCTTTTGCTGTACAGTGATGGTGATGCCTGCGAGGCAAGGTGTGCAGAAGATCCGGATTGCTTCTACTTTCTTTGGAAGAATGATCCAGGTTCTCTCAGCACCTATCACTGCGCCGGCTTCAAATATTGCAATTCCCCTACACCATACACTGACGGCAAGGCCTCCATTTTCAGAACATGGACTTGGCCCATCTTGGCTGAAGAGTTTGCCGAGAATGTTTGGTGCGGAGGAACTGGCCTATGGTCTTCCTATGGTCCAAATGCCACGGGCATTTTGGCAAGCCAGGATGCTTGCGAAGCGATGTGTGCATCGGATGACGCCTGCATGTATTACCTTTGGAAGGATGACTCGTCAGCAGACACACGATTCCATTGTGCGGGTTTTGCCTCCTGTTCGGAACAGTCCAGCTTTGGTGATGGAAGTGTCACGATTTTCAAGAAAAGAACCAAGGCTGAGAGGGACCTGGATGGCTTATATCATACACCTGCTGGCCGTCAACCATACTCAGACTTTTGGTATGACAACACTTGGGACCCGGCCGCTCAATACAACGGAACAGTGTATGGTCAGTGGGGAGAGTCAAAAACTGATTCCGGCTTTGGCACATACATAGGTTCGGACTTTCATCACAACGGGGACCTTCAAGAATACTATGACCCATGGGAGATCAATCTGGGCAAGATTTATGGGGTTATGGACGATCTCCGTTTGGAGAATGAACGTGTGCAGCAGAAGTACATCGCGATGACAAAAGCTCTGATTTCAAGCGCAGACATTGATGGATTCCGGGTGGACACTCCCATGCAAGTGCCCCTGAACTTTTACAAGGTTTGGGCGCCTGCGATGAGATCCCATGCGAAGACAATTGGAAAAGATCGCTTTGGTATTTTTGGAGAGTTCTTTGTTTCGGTCCAGAGGTACGGCACGATGACCGGAAGAGGGCGAGACAACACCATGTACAACCAAGATGTGTTTATTGATGACATTTCCACATTGAAGGGTGGCATTGTGTACCCCTACTACTGGTACATCTTTACGGCCATGGTTTACAAAAAGCCAGAGTACGTTGATGGTCTCCCATTGGCATATGTGGAGGAGAACAAGATCATTGACACCTACGATCCAACAACAAACCGCCATGAATATGCCATGTGGACCTTCTGCAACAATCACGACAACTGGCGCCTCCAAAGCATGACTGGCTTTGCTGAGTTCAGGATGTGTCTAGCTCTCATCACCTTTTGGCCAGGAGTGCCCCTTCATTATTCCGGGGATGAGCAAGACTTTGATACACCTGGAAGTGCTTTGGATGGATGGGCACGCGAAGAACTCAGTCATTCGTTGGCTTGGCGAGCTGTCAGAACACAGCCAGAGGGCAATCCTGCAGATGTGGACAATTTCGACATGACAAGTCCGACATACCTGTACATCAGGCGATTGAACGCCTTACGCAGAGCATATTTTGCAGATTTTGGATCGGAAGAATGTGACCAGATTCAGACTCCAACATCCCAAATGCCACATGTTCTGGTGTTTATTCGTGGTTGCAGTGCTTCCAAAAAGGTCTTGTTCCTAGCCAGTTTTCATACAGCTGAGCGGAGGAATGCATCAATTGATTCTGTGCCATGGTCCTCCGGCACCGTGCTGACAGACTGCTTGGCAACCGCAGATGCAGTCCAGATCTCTGTCG